TGCATCTTCTCTACGATAAAAGATTCTTTTGGGATAAAGTATACGGGAGATTACAAAAAGACTAAACTAAGTGGTATAAACCAACTGTTATAATGAATACTGATAATAAGATAGAGAACGTAGATACCTGTAATTATAATTAAACAGATGATAATTAAAACATATTTTAACTTTTATTGACTGTCTTTCAAACTATCTTTGTTTTCTTAAACAATACTAATGTTTATAATTTTTAATGTAGTTTGTACTAGTGTAAAAACATATTGCAAAGTAAAAAATTAATATTTAAATTGATCTATGTAAATTGTATAGCAATTAAAGTTATATATTATCTTTATTTATTATTTAATTGTTATTATATAATTGGAATATTAATAATTGTGATAGATTAACTTCATATATAATATAGGACGATTTGATAAACTATTGAAGGCTTGTGTAAAATAAAAAGGCTTATGAAGAAAAATGCACTCTTTTTTCTAATCAATTAAAGGTTTTAAGATACTTAAAATTATGCATCTTTGATTTGGATTTGAGTAATACTGAGATGAATAACATTTTGAAAAGTTTAAATTCATAAATTTATATTATAAGAGTAAATTTTTAAATATTGTTTTAAAATTTTATTAATTATTTTATTAATGCAAATGTGACATAGAGCTACACATAAGAAATATTATAAAATAGTTTATTTTTAATATATATATATATATATATATATATATATATATATATATATATATATATATATATATATATGTATTGACAAACCTTACACCATCCTCTCTTTCAAAGATGATGACAATAAATTAAATGGAATATTTCAAGCTTTTGCTGAGTGATTATAAACTACCATAAGAATATAAAACTCCCATAAAACCACTAATGTAATTGTTAATAACTATGATTGAGATAAAATCCAAAGCCATAACAAAAATATCACGACTATGGAATCATGATACATTAGTTGTAATTTTGTGTGTGCCAAATACTTGAACCAACCTTGAAAGTATAAATTTATATCAAGGCAAGAGACTTTAAGAGCCACTGCAATCCATAAAGCACCATTACAGCAAATAATACATCTTGTGTCTAAATTTGTCTATTGAGGATCCTCTGAGGTTATTATTAACTTGAACTCATAATCATAAATAAAATTTACCTATGCATCTTCTCATCAACCAAAATTTGATACTTATGTTAATGTAGAGTCACAACCTTCATCTTGTTTAGCATCACATCTAGAAAGTCAAACTCACTCTATTCATCTTTTATATCCTCTTTATCCCCTCTTTGAAAGAAAAAAAGTTTTGAAGCACTAGCTCTATTTGGATTTGTTGTGTTTGTTTTCACTTTACAATCTAAGTTTAACCTCACTCTACTATCATATCTATTTGGCCTCATTGCACTATCACATTTGTTTGGCCTTATTATATTACATGTTATTCATCTTTGTTCCACTATTATATCCATTTATCCTCACTCTATTATTAGGGTTGGATTCCTATTCATCCCCTCTACCCCCTCCTTCAAAGAAAAAGAAATTTAAAGTATCATGGTAAAAAAGAGAAAGTGAGGAAGATTGAAGAAATATTGTTGAAGAAGAAAAAATGAATAAAGAAGCATTAGAAGAGGAATTTTTAATAATTGTGAAATGTTGCGAATTTGACTATGGGTATCAAAAATTATATATTGGCAAATTCTTTCAAATATTTTTTCTTTACTGCCACAATAGTAAAAAGTTAGTATTGTTGGACCCTTTTTCAATTTCCACTTAAACTAGTTGAGAAATTAATTATTATATGTGAAATTAGAGTAAAAGGGCACTAAAGAAGGAAATCCTAAGTTGTTATTTAGTTAGACATATTTGACACGGTAATGAGAAATTTATATTATTGGCTTGCACATGTGTAGCACACGTGGTTTTAACCTTTTATCCTATAGTGATTTACCATAGGATAACACTACAAAGTAGAACTTAAACCCTCTTTATGCCATGTGACACATGCCATGTGCCATATGCCACATGTCTAAGGACAGTGATGCAGAACCCGAGTTTCAAAGTCTTGGGCCATTGAACAAAGGTACGGAGCTAAACTCCTAAGCATGGAACCAAAAAGTGACGGAATTGAACCACAGAGCAACTCTCGAGTATGCAGCCCAAGGAGTGAAGGGATAAAAGTATGGAGTGACTTGGAACAGTCCTAGAGTATCCAACATCCCAATACTAGGACCAGCATGCAAAACAGAGCGAAACGGAGTCTGGCACTATTTCAGCATATCGATCGCCTACCACAAGGATATGGGTATTCCACAAGCCGAACACAGAACAAGGATAAGCATGCAAGTGAGAGATAAACTATGCCTCAAGTTAGTCGGCCATACCCAACCTACCCACTATCCCCCCCCCCCCCCCCCCCCCCTTCGAGGAACACACACTTTGGGCTTTCACCCCAAGCCTCCTTAGTATCAAGAATTAGTCTTTGAGACAAGCTCAAAACTTATGTAAGTTTTGAGACTAAATATGGAATTTGAATACGGGATAAATACCATTATATTCAAGACAATTTTTACATTCTATAGATATGCCAAATGAACAAATCTGGACACTTTCCATAAATAGCATTTGAGACCAAAATGAGACTAACATAAAGGGCATGATAGCGAAGGTGTTTAACAAACACAATAAACTATCATCTAGCGATATTGAATGACTAGTCTTAATATATAAGGGTTCTTGTCAAGCTAGTGCAAGATAGAGAAAAAGAGAATTAAGAGCCAAGTTGAGTATGCTCAACTAGAAACACATAAGAGTTCCTACCTTATGTCCATTTGGCTAAGTACAGATGCTAAGCCCAGTAAACTAACACTTGAACAAGAGGGGTTAATAAAGGGAACTAGCAATACTGATCTCCTACCGTCGTGGCAATAAGGAAAGAGTGTCTGTAAGGACTGGCCAACAAATAACTTTTGATACCCAAAGTCACATTCATGACACTCTCCCTCCCTTAAGGAAGATTGATGTCCTTGTCGATGCATACTCGAGTCTAGACCACCGGCAAGGAAACAACCCCAGAAAAAGTTTATAGTGATCACATTATGTGAGAAATGCACCAACTTAAATAAGTTAAGGTAACCTCTTTGTCTAACGTGGATGCGCTACCAACTTAGATACCTTTCGGCCGTTGCCGACAAGGAAATGACCAATGGAGTTAACCACCCTTGCTACTTTGGGTGTCACTCAACTTACAAAAGTGTGATACACCCTTGCCCACAGGGATATAGAGAGAGAAGCCAAAGGTTCCAACCCTCATGAGCAAAGAAATTAAACCCGTCGGTAAGGTTTAGATAGATTATTGTAAACAAGCAGTTAGAGTTGTTTGCATGGTCACACCCTTAAACGAGCTATGAGCCATGGTGAAGCGGCTAAAGAAAGAGCATGCAGCACTTTTGGATGGATCCCACGATGTAAGTTTTTCTCTTTTCCTGGTTCAAGTTGTCGACAGACCGGCTTGTTTCTATTTCAACTGTCACAAGAGAAGAGCAAGCTAAGAGACGAGAAAGCTTTTCTCAAGTCCAAGACAGACCAACTCCACCAATGTGATTGCTTAAGATATAAGAATAAGTATATTAATTGGTGTTTAGACCATTGTTTATATACCAATATAATTTCTACTTTCCATCATCTTTAAATTGAGGAAATACAATATTTATCTTGTTTTGCATTGTGATAGCCACTCATTCTACCACAAGATCCAAACCCACCACTTTATTGTTGATGAAATCCATAAGTTTCTGATAAATTTACTTTAACTTATGAACACCAGACCATTTTTGTTTGTGCATTTAAACATGAAACATTTAAAAATTTGCCAATAGTAGCTTTCTTTATTGAAATAATAAACTTGAAATATTAATAATGTTCTGTGCATTGTCTAATAGTACTATTATTCCTATTTATCAATCCAATTGATCAAATGGAAGTTTATAATTATGAACATTAACCATTAGATGAGTGTTTAGGAAAGTTTATAAATTATAAACATGTTTATAAATAATAAATACAAGATTAATATAAATGAATAACAACCGTTAGATGGAAAAATATCCAAGAATATTTTAGATACTATCGTAAGCAAACAAAAAAATTATTTATAATATAGAAGTTATTAATGATTACAGACTACTTTATATATTGCCAATAGTAACTTTTCTTTAAGTTAATCTTCAAGAAGCAATAAAATATGACATATTTTAATTCATGGTTGTGCTTATTCTAAAAAATGGACTAGAGTTAATAATTAAATCAATGTTGATCATTTAACGAGAATGCCTTGAAAGAAGTTAAAACTTTTAATGAAAACACAAGGTAAGGAAAATTATATATTATAAACTAAAATTTATAATAGGTATTTGTAACAAGAATATTATTATTTACCAAATGCATATATGGTACATAATATTAATTATTTTATAGTAAATATTAATATTATCATTTTCTTTTGTTTCAGTGTTAAATTATAGTCAACATTTAGCTAATGATATTGAAGTATGTTCTTTTAGTGTAATAAATATTTCTAGAATATCCAAATATATTCTAGGATAGTTTTCAATCAAATGGTTGTGATTTTCTCATATTAATTTTTGGTTTGCCTAAGCAAACATATACCTAGAATATACTTGAATATTTTAGGATATTCTACCATCTAATGGTTGTTATTTATTTAGATTAATCTTGTATTTATAATTTACAAATATGTTTACAATTTATGAATTTTCCTACACAGTTCCTAGTATATTCTACCATCTAATAGTTGATTTTCAATAAGATTAATCTTGTGTTTATAAATTATAAACATGTTTATAGTTATAAACTTTCATTTGATCAATGAGTTTAATAAATAAAAATAACATTACTATTAAGAAACCCAGAAAGTTGACCATGTGTTCACGTGCTTGAAAAAAATTAAACTTGTCAGTCAGGATCGTGGGTACACACAATGAATCCTTCCTTTCCAGACGCCCAGCTCGGGATCACCCGAATTGTGATCCTCTTCATCCTGATCCAGGCTTTCCTAGCCGCTGGGAAGCTCCTCATGCATGCACAGGACGATGATTTTCCTCTCACCAATGCCGCCAGCAACAAGCTCCATGCCAGGTTCTTATCTCTCATTACTGCCATCCCTCCCAAGCTCACTTACGATGGAGCCACGGATCTATACTTCCGGGGCCAGGTCATTGCTGACACCTTGTTCCTCCTGGAATCCAATTTCTCGCTGGTTCTCAACCTCTGCTTTTACAACGTCGAGTACTGCGGCCCAAACTTTAGCCCCGACTTTGGTGGCACTGGCAGCAAGCTTCGCGCTGGATTCACGGCTCTCTTACCGGATCTCCGAGGTCTCATGAACTTGAGCTATGGAGCGGCCTATGTCGCCCAAGGACAGTTCCAAGCCGGATACTACATCAAGGGCATGAACTTGAGAGGATCTAATGGATCGTGCTCGTCTCTCCGGGTGGAAAATTCCACGGATCATATTGGCTACTGCTACGACTACGAAGACACGCGACTGAGTTACAGTGCTTTCGACAGGCTCTACCCGGGTTACCGGATTCAATCTGCTAAAAAGCCCGAGTACGTGCTGGAGATGCGAGAGGACTGCAACGCTGTGTTTAGCGACACCACTACCAAAGAGGTTTTGTGGCAGTCGAAAACGAAGGGAAGCGGAAGGGACTGCGAGCTTGTTCTTGAAAAGACGGCGACGCTAGCTGTGTATGATCGAAACGGGACTGTCTTGGCGAGGTTTGGGACGAACAACTCCACGAATGCGTCCTTGTTTGCGGTCCAGGGAGATAGAAACATGGTGATCTATGCCATCAGCAACATGAAGACTCCAATGGCGGTGTGGAGCTCACACACTTTCCAAGGCGAGCTTTTGCAAGTTACGATGTGAATCTCTTACATGTTTCTTCTTTCCCACTAGATCCATCTTCTCCGAATGGATCGACGCCGCAGCCAAATGGTACCAGCTCTGTTTCGCAGCCTTCGTTGAGCTCCAAGTCGAGGCGAGGGATTCGAACGATTGCAGTCTCTTTAGGAGCGTCTCTCGTTGGAGTGGCACTGGTGATTTTGTGTGTTGTGCTGATTTTGCGAAAGAAAAGAAATCGTAAAGCTAGCAGGGAAGCGTTGAGCTGGCTACCACCCGATTCAAAGGCCAGGAAATACTCGTACAAAGAGCTCCAAGAGGCTACCAAAGGATTTCACAAGGACAACTTAGTAGGCAGAGGCGGATTTGCGAGTGTATACAAGGTAAGTCTCTGTTTCTTTCTTTTGAGAAGTTCCTCGACTTTTGATCACACACAGGGAGTTATAGACAATCACTTTGTTGCCGTCAAATACTTGACTAGCTCCGACTTATCAGACAAGGCAAGGCGGGATTTCGAGAACGAGGTGTCTACGATTTGCCTCCTCCAGCACAAGAATGTTGTCAAGCTTTTTGGTTTCTGCTCTGAGAAAGAGCACAAGCTCACCGTCTGCGAGTTCATCGAGAATGGAAACCTATCGGACGCTTTGTTTAGTAAGTTTCGCTAGATCCATGAAAGAGTTATCATGCTTTCTCTCTCGGCAGGGTCTCCAGACAAAGGTTTGGAGCTAAATTGGACAGCCAGATACAACATCTGTGTGGGAGTTGCGCAAGGTCTGGCATACTTGCACGGAGAAACATCACAGGCAACCATCGTGCACAGAGACATCAAAGCCCTCAGCATCCTTCTAGCAAGCAATCTTGAGGCAAAGATCTCGGACTTCGGCCTGGCAAGACTGATCCAGGAAGATCGGAGTTATATCAACACACGAGCCACAGGAACAGTGTAAGTTTTTTGATGTCCAAAAACTTCAACTTCCATGGAGATCGTTTCCAGTGGCTATCTAGCTCCAGAGTACGCTCTCTCCGGCCAGCTCACCGAGAAGGCCGATGTCTACTCGTTTGAGATCCTTGTCCTGGAGATCTTGAGTGGAAGGATAAGCATGGATTTCACACTCTCGGATGGCGATTCCTTCCTTCTCGAACGGGTGAGTGGTTTTGATCTCTATATCTTCGTCTAAGATCCTTCTTCCGAACCAGGCATGGAATGTCTTCCAGAGCGGCCACCTCCTGGAGATGATTGACAAGCGACTGGATGTGGGCGACGAGCGAGATATTCACAAGATGGAGCGCGTGTTCTTGGTGGCTCTCCACTGCACGCAAGCCAGCGGCAGCAGGCGTTCATCTATGTTTAGAGTGGTGGGAATGCTCATGGGAGACATGGAAATCGGTGGCACCATCTCCAGGCCTGGCTTCCTCTTTGATCTGAGGCAAAACCTCGAGCAGTCCAAATCTTTGACCAAAACTTGACCACGTTTGCGTTATTTAACTAAAGTGGTACTTTTACTCTGTCCAAATGCTCAAATAAGTCTACTGTGGCAGTGTTGCATGATCGCTAGGAATCAAAGCAAAGCCAGGATCTCTATTCGATTGGAAGAAAATGAGCACGAGAAGAGAAAGAGTCCATATACAAATGTTGCTTGGAAGTTTGGATGGATTCATCCTATATCCCAATTGCCTTTTGCTCTTGATTTCTAGCAGGATTTCTATGTGTGAGGTGGTATTCCTTTCAAGTCTGTGTAAGATTATGCTTTTTGCAAATGGGATTTATTTACCCAATTCAGAATGCTCAATATGTTTCACCACTTGATCAGTCATGCAACGCAGTTGGAATTGCTAGATCCATCGAGAATTGTGGGACTCGGGCTTTTCACCAGTGGTTGTACTACTTGCAGCTCCTATTTTACTTCCATGGAAGAAGGTGATGAAGCTTCCACCTGCAAAAAACAGTGTTCTTAGATTCCAAAACGAGAAGAAACAAGAGGATGCTTTTCTCTCGATTGATATGTGCTTGGGGTGACTTGACCCAGAAGATTGCTGCTGGGATTCTGGCCCTCGCTCGCCGTTGTCCTCCCTGGTTGCTTTCAGAGCTACTTGGAGTGGCTTGTAAGGAGCTTCGGAGATAATGGGAAGAACGCAGGGGTTCCATCCTGACCAGTGTAGCCTTTGAAGGGATGCATTCTTGGAGTTGCATACTGAGCAAACAACCTCTCCATGGTGGAGCTAGGAGGAGAAAAGTATGGGAAGTAACCAGTAGCTGGCGGCCTGTTTGCAAACATTGCGTAAGGATGAATGCTGTAAGGCGGCGGAAGAGGCAAATTGGGAGGAAGGAAAGGAATTGGCGGTGGTGGAATTTGCGAGCCTTGCGTTGGTGGTGCTTGAGCATGAGAGAGGGATCCACTAGCCACGATAGCATGAGCTGGAGTCTTTATTGGAGTTGCGAGTTCATTTGTGTAAGCTCCTAAGTTTGGACTTCCCGGGAGGTCACCCAACCCAGTACTATTCACACCCAAGGACAGTTAACCCCAAATATCCTAAGACCCTTAACCTATTGGAAAAGGGGGTGCACTCTTATTCATGGGCCCTTTCCCTTTATATTTGAACCCTATAGATTTGGGAATCTGTGGATGGATGGCTAACACTCCGTTGCTCGTGCAGTGAGTAGCTGAAACCAAGTAGGAGCTGGTACCATAAGCGAGAACCTTGGCAAGGGAACTTAGCAAAAGCCAAGGCAATGTTGGACGGATAGACGAGGTAAGCTGGCAAATTGGAAAGGAAAAATTTGTGGCTTACAATTTGCTAGTTAGTAACTATATTGACGTTCAAACAGACTGAGCTGAAGGCGACCCTTCTTCGCATGTAGCAGGAGCTTGCTTCACTTTCAGCTCAAGGATTCAGCAAAGTTCCTGAACCGAAGGTAAGTTTCCCGGCGAAATTTTCAGGCAAGCGTTCGGAGCTTTGTGGATTTCTAAACCAGATGGAGCTAATCTTTGCACTTCAACATCGGCGGTACCCCACTCCCGAGTCTCAAATCAGCGTGATTGGGACGTTGCTCTAAGGTGCAGCTTTGTCATGGTTTTCTCCTCTTTTAGAGAAGAGCATGAAAGGGGTCGTGGTTCTGGAGCTGATGGATCCTCAATTGTTCAAAAAGAAGCTCGAAGCATGTTTTGGCGAGACGGATCAGGTTTGGGTTGTTACCACAAAGATGAGACGTCTCTCTCAGGGGTCTCGTCCTGCCTCGATCTACGCTGTAGAGTTCCAACTCCTTGCCTTGGACACTCAGTGGGATGAGCGGGCCCTGATTGACCAATTTCGTTTCGGCCTCAACAACGGTGTCAAGGATTTGTTGCTCACCATGGAGGATCCCAAGGACCTGTCGGACGCCATCAAAAAACCTGTTCGATGTGACAATCGTCTCTTTGAACGTCGTCAGGGCGAGTGAGATGTGTGAGAGGAAGGACAATGTCAGAGTAGTGATCAATGAATTTGCAGTTGAAGTTGGCAAAGCCAAGGAAAACCTGAACGTCCGACATTGATTGTGGAGGCTCCCATTCGAGAATAGTCTTGACTTTGGCAGGATCCATCGTGATACCCTCAGGAGTGACAATGTACCCAAGGAACTCCACAAACTGCTGATCGAAGGAACATTTCTCAAGCTTTGCGTATAGGCCGTGTTCTCGTAACTTCGCCAGCACCTTGCGTACATGTTCGTCATGCTCCTCCTGAGTTTTTGAGTAGATGAGGATGTCATTGAGGTAGACGATCACCATCTGATCAAGAAACTCCTGAAAGACATCATTCGCCATGTGTTGGAAAACTGCTGGAGCATTTGTCAAGCCAAATGGCATGACAGTATACTCAAAGTGGCCATAGCGGGTTCGGAATGCAGTCTTCCATTCATCACCAGATCGGATCCGGATCAGGTTGTATGCTCCATGAAGGTCGATCTTGGTGAAGAAGCGGCACCGCCGAGGCGTTCCAATAGGTCCAAGATCAGAGGCAACAGATAATGGTTCTGAACAGTCCTTGTTCAAACCTTGGTAGTCAATGACTAGCCGCAAACTCCCATCCTTCTTCTTGACAAAGAAGACAGGTGCTCCAGCCGGGGACTGCGAATGCTGAATGTACCCCGAGGCAAGGTTCTCATCCACATACTCTTTGAGGGCCTTAAGCTTGGACGGGGATATCCCGTAGATAGGCCCCCACGGAGGTGACGCTCCTTCTTGTAAATCAATGGGACAGTCATAAGGCCAATGAACAGGCAGTACACTAGCTTTTTTTTTGTCAAACACATCCCCAAAATCATGATACTTCTTAGGAAGACTGACAGGAGAAACATGCAAAGTAAAAAGGAAATAGGTTCTTCATGAAGGAGTTCTTTCATAGTAATTGTGGAGATAGGAGGAGGTGTACGACTAAATGGAATGATGAGATGAGGATACTCTCCAGTGTAAGATGGAAGAGAAGAAAAAGAAGAGGGTGAAAACTTCGTAGAGTCAGGAATAGAACCCCGATTTGAGTTTAGGGAACTTTTCCTGATTCAGACTCAATGAACAGCAGGGGAAGCCATGGGAGAGATGAGCTGTAATTCCTTCCAACAGATCTGAGGCTGATGTAGTTGGAACCAAGGAAGACCGAGCACCACAGAGGAGGACTTGCTGTTGATGATGTTGAAGGCGATATCGGTGATGGTGGACCCGATGTGTACTCGAACAGGCAACATTTCCCTAAGTCCAGAAGATGGAGACACAAAATGCCCACCAACGCCTTCAACCCTCAGATCCCGTATCGTAGGAGAAAGAGGAACGTGATGTCGGGCAGCAAAGTCCGTGTCTATAAAGCAGGAAGTTGCACCCGAGTCCAGTAGTGCTAGAGCCTTGAGTCCTGATTGTCCGGTGAAAGAAAGGAGACATGGGATGCGGAAGTTGCGGGAATTGGTGGTGGCTTTGATGAAAGGTGGTGAGGAGTTTGATAAAGAAGAAAAGTGATTTTTATTTGTTGAGTCAAAATAGACAGCTCCTACTCTATTTGGAAAGGGTCGTTTCCCGACTGCAATAGAGGTGGACTTTGAGGCAGAGTGAACTCGAGCAGTCAAGGAGGCTTCTTGGGACACACAGCTGCTTTGTGATTAGGATCAACATAGTAGAGGCAAAGATTATGAGATATTTGACTCAACTTCCCTCTAATGAGTCAAGGAGTACCAGAAATATCCATTGAGACCGGAGCAGTAGGTTCAGGAGTATGCCCCGAAGACTCAAGCTGGGATTCCTGAGTCTGGGACGGAAAAACAGTAGCGCGGCGAAGGATGTTCCCTTCTCTTGGTCTGCTGCTACCCAGTAGGCCTTCGACACACTCAAGGCGGCCTTCTGTTCTGCTCCTGTCTTGATCCATGCTGATTCCTCACAACCTTTCTTCATCGAGGCTGACACCTCTGACTTTGCCATCGGTGCTGTGTTGTCTCAACTCGGAGCGGATCAAGAACTTCATCCGGTTGCTTTCCATTCTCGGAAAATCCAGCCTGTGGAGATCAATTACGAAATCCACGACAAGGAGCTCCTTGCCATCGTGGATTCTTTTGGAGAGTGGTGCCGTTTCTTGGAGGGGGCGGGCCATCAAACAACAGTCTGGACAGATCACAAAAATCTTGAGTACTTTGCCACTTCCCGAGTTTTGAGCCGTTGTGAAGCAAGGTGGGCACAATTTCTGAGTTGGTTTGACTTTGTTATCAAGTACAGACCTGGAAAGCTTCAAGGCCTTCCTAATGCTCTTGTAAGAGATTAATTTTTCCATTTTACTTTAGTCACTTAACCGCACCTCTGACCACTTGGAGGAGTCTTATTCACAGCCTCCATAAGTCCTAGTTAGGATTTGGGGCTTGTTAGCCCCGAGAATGGCATCCATGCCACTCCACCTTTGCACTTGGTCCAAGTGCTCCATGTGTTTGATCCCATGACCGGCACCCCAAGGTACCACCAACATATCGGCCCATTACACTAAGGCTATGCCCATTCACCTTGGTCACACTGGTGGTCTAACGCCACCTACATCACAGTCTCGTCTCTCAAAGACTAGGCCCTCCATCTATGAGTGATCATCCTAGATCCACTCCTTAGCATCCTTAGGATACTCACAACCATGGGGAATAGCCTTCCCTGATATCTCTTTTCCAGTCCCCACCAAGTCCGTTTTCATCCATGGCCGTATTCACCAACACTGCCACTAGATCAAGGCCCGCAGGCCCGACCTCTAAGTCCACTGGCCTCTGGGACTGCCTCACCATGGGATTGTGTCCTTGGTCACCACACCAAAAGGCTACTCCTCTTCCTTTCCACAGTCTGGGACTTTGGAACAACATTTCGAAACACCGTGGCCCTACGCAGGCCTCATGGGTACTCTCCCCGCCTTCCACCTTTAGGTGCTCTAGCCATAGGCTTAGAGCGAGGTTCCGTTAAGCCACACCAGGTATCAAA